GCGAGCAACTGCCGAAGGTCCTCCTACCAGAAGGCTATGACATGCCTGCTAAAGACAAGGACATACAAGGACAAAAGACCTCAGGTCGGGTGTCAGAGTGCAGCTGAGGCCGTTGCACACACAATCCTCAGCTTGGGTGCGTGACAGCCTACGCAGCCCTTAAGTAGCTGCAGTCTCGTTGACCGGATCACATTTGAGCAGCAAGCTTCCGTGCTTTACCCTGCATGAAGCTGCAGCACCAACGCTGGAGTCCATAAAGCAAGTCCCCTATACAGGCCTAAACGAAAAGCAAGATGATGCAGGCTCATATGCGCGCTGCTGACCCGGTCTTTTTTAACCACGAAGACATGTCTAGCCAGAGCCCGTGAACCCCAAACCATGAATCTACTCAAGACTTCAAGTCTGAGCAGCCTCGGAATTATCGGCCAGCTTGCACCAAGAAAGCCCGATGAAACTGTTCCGACAGCCTTGAAAGGGGTACAGTAGTTTGCTGCCATGGCTCAAGTTGACCAAGCCATAGAGAATGCCCGTGAGGTGGTCTTGGCCCAGATAATCCATGAAGCGCCTGTGCACGTCTGCTGTTCCCCATGTGTCCGGCCAGGTTTTGGATTGTCTAATGATTGTCTGATGGTTCTTTATTTATTGCCAGAGCAGCCTTTCAGGAACGTGGAGAGCAAGGACTCTACATCACGAAGACCTATCACTACAAACATCAATCGTTTTTTGGTGTGGTGCGCGCGTGCGTGCAGAAGCTCTAGTGCCAACCCTGCATACCAAGAGCTCTTTCCAACAACTGCAGACGAAGTTCTCCAATGGCAGCGAGTCCCCAGTAAATCAGCGATTCGGACATCAGACAAAAGAGGGCAAATGCCCGGGGGGGGAGGCTTATATGCTCCGAGTTTCTCTTTCATGTTGATGGGTAGCTCAGCGCACAAGAAGGTACGCAAGTTCAGACATGTTTAGCACCACCACCAGCTGAAGCTACATTCGGAGGCCCCATACATCTCAATCCCGCCATTCCTCCTATGATGCTCTCTTGACTTTGCTGGCTAACCTTCAAGCGTCCATTTCAGCCCCAGGCTCTTGACATTGATGATAGGGACCGTGCCAGTCGACATCTCAATGTCGATTAGGTCCCGCCATCTGCCGGAATCAGAGTCAGTGCACAGGCCCATCGCCCTAGGTAAGCCTAAACCCTGTGATAGAGGTGCCAAGGATATGTTTTCAGTCCCCCCCCCCTACAAGCCCAACACTTTGGGCCAATTTCAGTACAAGGGCTACCGCAGGGTTTTCAGTGTGGACCGAATGTCACAGTCTTAGGCTCACTTGCAGAGCAAGTGGCGACTCCTTGCCTTCGATCTGGTCCTGTACTCGGTCCAAGGACAGGGGATCATGATCGTGTGTCAGGTGCAGCAGGGCGGATCAGGGTTGGAGTGAGGTTTTGGCGCTCGGTGACAGGTCATGTGGGATGCAAGGCTGAATAGGCTACTCGGAGAAGCCCGAAATCACGAGAAAAGGGCCCACAGGGCCACTGGCAGGTGTCCTGTCGAATGAGATTGGCGGGCATCTTTGGCGCAGCCTTCGAGAGGCAGCCCTAGAAGGCCCACCCGTGTGCCTGACCTGGCCTGAAAGCCCAAGTGAGAGAGCCCACAGGCCGAGCCAGGACATGAGACCACGAAGTCGCGGAACGTTCGTCCAATGTACCGCTGCGAATTGACCAGCACTCACACAACATGGACAAAATCGTCGCAATGACAGTATCATGGCGATATTGCCCAAGCAACGCAAGGCTTGTGATTTTGCAGGAGGAAGACAAACAAGCTTGCAAGCTGAAACGTCCCAACCTTCGAGACGAGATCGTACGCGCAGCCAGGGTCAACACTGTGTGCTGCAGCAGGCCCAGCCCTCAGTGTGTGATAAAACGCCTCGACCTGACCTGATGGCTGCAACACACATGCACATGCCTCACTCGACAGCGTGCCTTCGATGCTGCATGAAAAAAGCTTTGGAACACTGCTGAATCGTAAAGATCTGGACATTTACACTTCTGCAGTTTATGTGTAATGCAAGTAACAGCATGACGAGGACCATGTGCGAGTACCTCTAACAATCCCAATTACCAGAGACCTGCAACCGAGCATTCTAAGTTCCGCAAGCCTCAGATGCATCAGCTACAGACACAGTCATTGGGGATTCCGGGGTTTTGCAGACCTTCTCCAGCTTCTCCGGGGCAGGGCTCCGGAAGGAGAAGAGGAGGCCGGTGCACGGAGCCAAACAGCTGCCGGAAACCTATGCAAACCTCAAAGAGTCAGAGACCATTCCGACACATTTCGACACCTCCTAAGCCTCGCGGAATCAGCACTTAGAGCCCGATGCTTGTGGATTCCGAAAGCGGGGATGAGCATGCCGTACAGTGGGATGTCATGGGCGCTTGGCCCTCATGCTGCCCACTCAACACATAGAACACCTACCTGACCCACACTCTGGACCCAACAAGTCTGATGCTCCCCAAGACCCAACATAAACCCACAACCCTGAAAGCCCAAGTCTTTCTTGCTGCAGGCGGGCGACTGTCTTCAGCAGCGAGTTGAACTGTAAAGTGTGGGGTTATCCTAACATGTGGACCGCTAACCCCACACCGCACCCCGATCGCCATCATGTGAAAACTTACTGCGCGCCACACCGAGACCGCCGTGGATCTCCATTAATGGAGTCTTGCACGGAGACCTTCGAAGTTGTTTCGCCGCAACGTTTTCAGGGTTTGCACAGGACTTGGAGATGTTGCCTGGAGCCGTTTATGGGATCTGGGGGGGAAGTTTTCTTGATGAATGGTGATGACTGCTCAATGGTGCGGCTAATACTTTTGACCCACTCAAGGCTCACGGCCTCAAGGAAATCCTTCCCAGCTGGTCCCCTAAACCCCCAAACCCTAAACCCTAAACCCTAAACCCGAAACCCTAAACCCTAAACCCTCATTCTATCAAGTGCGACAAAGCAAATGCTTCCTGCACCTACGACATTGGACCGAGCTCGTAGGCTGGCTTTTCGCATCCGGCGGACCCTTGCGCTAAGGCTCACCGAGTCGGCTTTGCTCCTTTTTGGGTTTCGGGTTTACGGGTTTTAGGGGTTTGAGGGTTTGGAGATGTTAGGGCTTGGGGGATTTAAAGGTCTAGGAGCTTTAGGGCTTATATAGGGGTTTCAGGGTTTAGGGGGTTTTTAGGGTTTAGGGGTTTTAGGGCTTAGGGGATTTCAGGGTTTAGGGGTTGTAGGGCTTAGGGGATTTTTTGGGTTTAGGGCTTGAGGGCTAGGGGGTTTTTGGGGCTTTTAGAGCTTAGGGGGACTTAGGGTTTAGGAATTTCGGGCGTAGGGGGGGTTTAGGGCTTACAGGAGTTTAGGGTTTAGTGGGTTTAAGGGCTTAGGGGCTTTAGGGTTTGGGGTTTTAGGGTTTAGAGGTTTTAGGGCTTAGGGGATTTTAGGGTGTAGCTGAATAGCAGGCTTGCGCCCAACCCTCTGACCCATGCTTCGGGACTGGATCTAGGCCAACTGAGTATCTGCTCGGTTGTTCGGTTTTGGGGCCAAAGCGAAAAAGGCTATAGGTTGCAGAATTGAAGCTGATGGGTAGCCAGATCCTCCCTCCAGGCCGCTATAAAGGTTGAAAGAGGTTGCGAGGCTTCGGGGTTCACAGCGCAGGCGGCTTAAGGGGCTGAAAGCGATCAGACATGTTGAAGGAATTTACGCGTTTTGTGCAGCTAAGCGGGTTTCTTATTCGTCGTTCAGGCAGCGTCCGAATGGTGGTTCGCGCGCTTGCGACGGGTTTCGGTCACCCAGATGGTGGCACAAAGAACTCAACTAGCTACACGTATATTATGGAAGCCGTACGTTCCGCAAGCGAAAGCGGTTCCGGCTGATGGTTACACAGCTACGACTTTCTGCTTCACAAAACCCCGCAAAGGGGGTTCCTCTTACGGAAAAAAAATCAACAGACAAAATACACATGCCATTGTTCAATAGCTGTTCTGTCAAATTTAAGTACTCGAAATGCTTCCTATTGACAGAGCCTTGTGTGAGTCTAGAGGGATTCAGAAATTAAAGCAATTTTACTGTTTGTGACTCTTAAATTATTCAAGCTATGTCCTATGTTCATGCCCGCGAATGATGTGGCCAAACAGACCCCGAAGGCCCCACTCTCTCTCTCGTCCATATACATGTATGTGTATATATATATATATGTATATACATATATGTATACTATGTATACATGCGCATGTACTACTCCTGCCACCCCACCAACAAACAACCCACACCTCGTCCTCAAACCAACACTTCATTTCAAGCTAAAGCCTGTGACGACAAGGTCAAGGTTCGAAATCTCTATTTGTGCAAGTTGGGAAAAGTTGCAGGTCGCACGGATGAAAACACATGCCATATACGAGTCAACCTAGCTGAGCTTGATGTAGCCCGTACGACATCACACAACAGACAGACTTTTGCTTCCATCTGTCCTCGGTAGCGGACGCTTCGCAGGAAAGAGGCCTGATCTAAGGGAATCCAATGTTCACAGCTGGGCTAAACATCTCCTACTCTTGAAAGTGGCATGCTATATGTGCTGTTCATGTACCCGAGAACATATCAATGTCTAAGCATACAATCTAATGGCGCGGACAAAGCAACACCTATCCTTGCATCCAGCCAACTGCTTTAGAAACAGGCACTGTATGCTTGCAGTGGCATTGCATCAAGCATTCCCCAGGCTTCAGGTAGCTGGCTAATCTGGTCAAGACGAGGCACCCCTGTTCGGTGGGAGAGAGAGAGTGAGAGCGATGTATACATGTACATATATAGATATACATATTAGACATATACATACATACATATATGTGCAGAGCCTTCGCACACAAGTCTGCCACCTTGGCATTCATCGTAAGTCTTGGTTCAAGGTTCCTTCTCGGCCTGAGCCCTAAGCCTTTTAACCACCCAGCCCGAACTGCTTCTTTTCCGCATCAGTCGTCCACAAATGCGGCACGTGGCAACCGAATGAAGGTCACTTTGCCCTTCTTTTGAGCACCCCAAAACCTTAGCTCAGAAGCTCCGGACTTAGGGTTTGGGGGGTTGTAAAACCGGATCAAACCACATCAAAGTTGGGAAGCACGTGCTGACTCCAAACTTCTTTTTAAGCCTTAGAGTCCCCCTGACAAACCCTCGCAAGCCTTGCCTGATGATTCTGCAGTGTCTGCATGCAAAGTTCGAGCGGACTCACATGGCTTAAGAATGGTGCTCCGCGCTTTGTCCTGGTTGAAGTCAAGTTGCCAATGTAGTGTCTTTGCTTTTGAACTCAAGGAACCCCAAAAACCCCGGCAAGTACATGCAAGATTACTTTTTGCCCCGAATTGCGTGGAAGCCTCCAGGTCCTGTCCGAAACTTTCTTTAAGAGCTAAGAAGAAGCGAATGCCCGAACCCGAAAACCACACGGCGCAGTGAGGACAGCAAGGGGAGCCTTCGGAGCCTTCAACTTGGGCCACGCAGCTTTGGGTCCGAGGACAGCCATGGGACCGGCTCGGAAGTGCTGTCGGGGAGGAGAACCTGGCAGTCTGAGTCTATGTCAGTTTGCTTTCGCTTCAACGGGACCGTGAAAGATGGTGCAGTACTGTATCGCGAGCTGTCGCAACTAACCTGGCGTCGAGGCACGGCGCATCAGCGCTTCCGGCTGAGATTTTCAAACATCCCTCATCTAACGCACACCAGATTTCTAAGACTTTATTTGCCAGGTAAACGTACATCTTTGCACGTGTTGCTTGTGCGTGGATTGCTCTTCTGCCAGCCAACGCCGCCACTGAATGTAGCACGGGCTTGGAAGGGAACTGTCGCTTGTTTCTGAAGCAGGGTGCGTGCTGCTTCCTCATCTTTCGGGCATTCGCTGGATTGGTGCGTTGGTACTCCTCCAGTGAAGTGTCCAACAGCTGCCCAGGCTTTTGGGGGCTCCTTGCCGGCCTTTAACTGAAAGGTATGCAGTATAATTACACTGTAGCTACACAGGGGCAACAAAACTATTGAGGAGTTTCAGGAAGAAGGCTTCAACAAGAAGATCCCACCTCAGCTTCTTGTTATGTGGTTTCTCTGGCAAGCCCTTTGGCAAACAGTTGCGCCATCCTGCGTCAGAAGTCGTCAGACACCACTTGCTACGGTTTGCCCGAAACCCGTGAACATGAAAATCCTGCAGTGCATCAGCAGATGCTTGCATTGGATGGCATTGGATGGTTGGCTTGTCCACGATCCACGGATTGGGGCCAACCCTTGGCACATGTTCCGCAACCATTTTGTGCGATGCGATTGCCACCGAAATTCCCGACAGCTGGCGCACGGAGCGCCAACAATGAGTAACAACTCTGATCTGATACTGTGTGCTGAGTTTCACTGGATTTCCATCCCAGACAGCCTCGACCTGCGGCTGCAGGTCGGTCAGGCCCTCCGCGCGCAGGAGCTTGTCATCCTTTGTTGTTTGGCTGTAGGGGCGCACGGAAGCTTTGATGCGGGATCCCATGTGGATGGGCAACAAAGGATAAGTATGCATGAGAAGAATTACTATTTGAGGAGCTATAGTAGGTCTCATAGGTGCCTGGGAGAGGTCTACACCCTGAACCGCGCGAGGCGGGACTGGAGCCAGATTCCCACAAAGCGGGACCTAAGACCCATCTGTCCAGTTCGCTAGCAAAGCACAAGCTGCCTTTCCAACGTCTCCCATGCAAAATAAGCCAGCAGTAAAACTGTGGTGCAAAATCTGTCCGGAAAGATTGCATTACGTCCACCTTCATGTTCCACATGTGTGCAGCGTGCACTTGAATTAGCGCCCCTGGGCGAGCGGCCAGCCAACCATAGGTAGCGGACATGAAGTTGCAGGCGTCCGGCAAGTCGCTGCCGAAGTCATCCTTTGCCAATTGTTTGTGGGTGCTCAGCTTGAAAGTTGGACCGCTGGTCTCGTCAAACTAGCAGTTCATGGCAAGCTCGCCTTTCTGTGATGCCCGTGCCGAGTTGCTGAGAAGTTTACGCGGCCCCGCACCCCCCGCGTCTGCCCGAATCTACCCACACCCGCCTGTGCTCATGCACGCATCACATCTGCGCAAGTGAAATACGAAGCCACTCCGGAATGCACAAACCCGCGCGCACACACACCTGTGCGCGTGTGCAGGTGCGTGCGCAGGCGCGTGCGCAGGTGCGTGTGCAGGTGCCTGCGCAGGTGCATGCCGGGACTGCCGAAGGAAGACCCCCTCTTTGCCTATGTACTAAGTGGTTGAGATGCACCACCCACGCACCCGTGCACCTGCACAGCCTTCCATGCTCGCCCACCTGTGGGCACGCAGGTACGGGCACCACACCCACGCACATCCGTACAGACAAATGGGCATGCACAAGTTACGAGGGTGCACGTAACTGCAGCAGCAGATATACAGGTCTAAGCGAGAAAAGGAAGAGCAACTTGCAAGCCATGATATTTCAAAAACATGCTTGCGCTCACAAGGCAAACTCTAAGACTGCTGGATCATTGCTCCACAAGACCCTGCCCAGCATGCATCACAGATCCCAGTGTCAACTACGTAAAGACATACGTAAAGACATGGTCAAAGCCAAAAACACAAGACAGAATCCCAGTGATGGAGTATGGTCGCACACCTTGACGCTGACCTCAATCTTCATTCTAAATGTCGAAAAGCTCCCAATCCTTCATCCGAGTGCAACCGCCGCAAAGTTTCCATACCCTCGCCCCCTGAACTCACGCCAATTTCCTCGACCTCAGAGAAAAAACTACAGTTGCACAACTCCAAGTCCACCGTCTCAACCCAGAGCATCTAGAAATCCTTACCCAGTCCCCCGACATGGCATCGCCAAGAGGCACTATCGAGGCGCAAGCCCGGCTCGGCCTGAAGTGCCTCTGGGTCTCCGACACAGCCGTCCTCCCGTGGGTTTAGGGTTTAGGGGCCCTCCACAACTTGTGAGGCGGGATCCGTCCAATCTAGCATTTGTTCAGAATGTTTCAGCGTCCTTGCGTGATAGGTTTTGCAGGACTTTAACAAAGTCCCAGGAAGGATGCTTGGAAAATCCAAGTTTCCGTGGCTTGGACCTCAAGCGACCGTGACGAATCCTCAACCTGAAGCTCGGAAAGCAGCTGTCTCGTCTGGGACGCTAGGGCAGGCTCTCAGCCACTCCTCGAGCACTGCGAAGAAGACGTCTGCCAACCTCAGTAAGGGTTTCGGATATGCTTTGAGGTTTAACTTCATTTTTTGGAGCATCGCAGTTTTCATTGTAGTTATAGGATACAGCGGCCCGAAAAGTAGTAAAACTCATGAACAGACCATGCCAACATGAACACCTGCAGCATGCCAACTTTCAAGAAAAGCGTTTGGAACGCTGAAAGTTCAGGAGAAGGAACCTCAAAATATCCCAAGAGCGGGAGACATGCTCAGGGAGGAGTGGGGGTTATTGTTCACCGAAACCCCGAACTGTTCACCGAAACCCCGAACATCAATACCCGCCCCCCACATCCGGGGGGGGGGGGGGGAAGGGGGCGAGTATTCAATAGGCAGAGAGGGGGGAAGAAGAAGAAGAAGAAGAAGAAGAAGATTAAGAAGATTAAGAAGATTAAGAAGAAGAAGAAGAAGAAGAAGCAGCCGCAAACAGTGGGGGGACGGTGGTTCAGCCCTCTATGAAGAGCGGTCAGCGGGGTCCAGATGTGGCGCGGGGGAGGTGGGCAAGGGTGGTGGGGAGAGGGGCAGGGGTGGGGTCGTGGGGCGGGGGAGGGACTGCATCAATTTGAAGAGCGGCCAGGGCAAAAACAGTCTGAGCAAGGGGCGGTGACGCCCCGAAGCTGTGGCCTGCCTCCACCTGCGCCTGGTCCCGCTCAAAGCCAGCGAGGTTCAACACTTCGAGCCTCTCAGGCTTCAGTTTAGGGAGTTTAGGCCTAAGCCACGGGGCCTGCGCCCAAACACTATGGTCAAAGGAGCGCTTCAGGGTTTTAGGCTGCGGCTCTTCGCAATGCAGGTAGGGACTCAAGGGTCTTGCATCTCAAAGAAATCACGAATCCGAAGATGATTCTCAAGGATGCCAAGGGGCAGCTTGTGGTCATACTTCTTCAAGTGCCTGTCAGGAGAAGTCTCGAAGAGGGGCATTCATGACCCTTTGCATGGTTGGGTGGCTGGCGAAGTTTGAGACATTGGACACGAATCCCGAGCTTTTCTAGCTTCGGGAGGCAGCGCTGCCTACTTTTTTGTACTGCATACTGAGAATGTGCGGTGCCGCGATGTGCTATAGGATTACCGCCAACACGAGACAACACTTCAGGAATGTTCCTAAATCACGGCTTTGGACGTTGGACGCCTGACCTTTCCCAATGACCCACGTCAAACCATGCCTCAACCTGTGTAAGATTTAAGACTCTGGGACTGAGAACACGTGCTACGCTGCTACACGACAGATACGTGCATTCGAATGCCGGCTGTGAAAGCTTTAGCTGGAAGTCCCCGAAGGTCAAGCCATCCAGAACCCCTGAAGTGCAAGCCCTGAACCCATTTACCGCAAGTCCCGCAGTGATTTCCGAAGAGGAACGTGAGGGCAGCTTCAACACAGCACAACAAGGCCTCCAGCTCTCTACACCAAGGATTGTCAAGTCGCAGTAATACCTTGGGGTCTTCGCGATGGCTAGGCTGTGAGCAAAGTGCTGGCAAGAGCCTTCTTCTCGCGCGTGCATGCACGTCCGAGTTTAGACGCTCAGGCGTAGACCCCAAACCGGGCTGTGCCTGACCCTGACAAACCCTGAGTGACACCAAACACCTAACATGCCCGATATGGTCCTGACATGGATTCGCATATTTGAAGGGTCTGTTTGGGGTCCCATGCCTTGGAGATGCTCAATTCTCAGGACACCGTTAACAGAAAACTTGTGCACAATGGAGTTGAAACAGCCAGGGCGAACGATGGCAATCGCATGCACGGAGCAACTGCCGGTCAGGGGCCCCTTGACGTAAGGCTCACCATCGAAGGTCTTCCCGGAGACATACTCCTCCATGGATCCAGCATAAGCTGTACACATCGCGACGCCGCGGCTACAAGAAATCGGACGTTGGGTTCAAGGCGAGGTGGTGCAGTGATTCAGGTCGCCTAGTTGAGACTTCTCATTGCACACTCTAACAACGCGCTTTTTGTGCTTTGCTTGGGTAAAGATTAGGTCAGTGGTGCGTCTTTGGTCGACGTGCGTTGGACAACGTTGTCTAAATTATTCTTCGGCCTTGTAGTTCTCAGGGCAGATCATGATGTCCACGGACCAGGTCAAAGACTTAAGAGGCAATACATAGTGAATGATTACCGTACTTTGCAAACATCACATCTAGAAGCAGCATCATGGCAGTACGTGAGTATACGTCTACTCGCAGCTCTGAAAAACAGGCAAAGTTGCACGAATTCAGGGTGCGTGATTTCCAGCCATGACGAGCACTTCCTTCTCGCATGGAAGAAGCAAGATGCCGGCCGTGGCTGTCTAAACCCTTTCAGAAACCATGGCCGCCCTAACCCCATCCTCAATGCTGAGGATGGCCATGCGATTGCCGTATCCATCGCCCATGAGGTCATCAGACTTCCCTCAGATGTTTGAACAATGAACAGCAACATCAACGGCATTGAAGCAGCAGAGGCAGTTTGCAAAGGTACCTTGGATCTCTACCTACCGTTGAACCTGGGGAGGACTCCCAGCCCGGAGCTCAAAGCTCAAACCAAGCGACTTTACAGTTGCTCGAGGCGGGTTTTGGCACGATGAAGCACGTGAGGCTTGAGATGCTTTCAGGACGTTTGAGGGCGGTTTCACACGGCTCCAGGCTGGGTGTTGCGCGCAGATGCAAAGTTGCAAAGCCGAGTGTCTGATTTGACTGTAAAGCCCCGGTGCTCCCTCCAGAACAATGATGGTGCCGGTCAGGTAGGTCAGGTGGAACCTCACTCTGATGGGCGGAGATGCGGGGAGGGGCAGAGGTTTCAAGGAGCGCAATATTTCAAGTGTTCGATCCCGAAACATTAATATCTCACAATGCCATGCCAGTAGTATCCACAACGCAACGCCAACCTAGCCCATGCCCGTAAAACAGGCCTGTGCCTAGCGCCTGGCGGCACCTCTCCAACACTAGACGCATTAGACAACAGTCCAGGGAACAGGAGGGCGTCCAGAAGCATCGAGTGCCGGTCACCAAGCCCAACCATGCACAGATGGATGCCAGCCAGGCCTCCGTAGCTGTGGCTGGCGAAGAGCTCCTGGAAGTTCCTGAAGTCCTCGTATTCCTTTCTCAGCTTGACATTTAGTTAATTTCATCTCTGATTTCCAACTAGTTAGAGCCTTTTACGGGATGGAGTTGATTCACAGCAATCCGCGCGAATGCACATCACAGCATTGCGGACGCTCCTGCAAAGAGTTACACACCAGCAGCAGAAAGGTGAACAGCTTGAGCCCCCGTGTGGGACGCTGCATGTCGCTCTGAGTGCGTAAGAGCTCAAAAGCTCACAATGCTTGGTGGATGCTTGACGCTTTAGACGTTTGAGCCGTGGACAGTCTATGAAAATTGGTTTTCGCGAGGAAAACCACACGCAAACTCGCGCAAAGATTGCAGCTGCTAAAGTGTGATTCCGCCATCTGGACATGCCTGGACACTTCTCACTTCTCGATGCAGATTTCTACTCAACGATACGAGATAATGAGTCACTTCGTCATCCTTAGCCATGGCACTTTGCGCAAGCGTGAAGATAGACGTTGAGTTGGTTAAGTCTTTGGCTGTACCGTTCACAGGTTTTGAACGATCGTACGCGGGCCGCCGCACCGTAGGACAGTGAGGTTTCGAGCTGCGTGGGCAAATTACGGGCTACCCAACAATGATCAGATTGGAGCATGCCTAAAAGCGAAACCCTAAAACATCCTCAAAACTTAAGCCCTAACACAAGATCTAAGTCCGACGCACCTACTGGTACCGGTAGAAGAGCGGAAAGACCCTAAATACCCTAAAGCACCCTAAACAACAATCGAAGTCAGACGCCCCTCACTGTAGACGAAGAAGAAGAAGAAGCGACAGTCAACATGTTGAAATACAAAGCCTTACAGCCCCAAGCCCTAAACCCTGAACACCAGGACCAGGCCTTAAACCAAGTCTAGATCTCACGCCCTAAGGGTAGAAGAAAGCGCGACAGTCAACATAACACACCCCTCGTGCCCTTCCATTGGTTCGGAAGCTACGAGTAAATGTCATGCCGCGGCACGGGCTGGTCGACAAAGACCTTGGCCCGTCCTGCCAGCGCCTCTGGAACGCCCATGACCCCACGCAAAGCACTGAAGTGCAAGTGCGCCTCTATTTCTGGTTGGGGTCAGGGTGCTTCCGCATCTACATGCGCTGCGCTGTTGCGACTGATAGTGGACGCAAGGAAGCTGCTTACTGGGGAATCTGCCTCTGGGGTCTGATAAATGTAAAGAGTTCGTTTAAACAAGCGCTATCAGTGGGCGGTCTCAAGTTGTGACAGGAACTAGCTCACGGTTCCGATAATTCTCTGCACCAGGAGAGATACTAGTAGGTCATTTGCTCCCCTGCTTGTTTTCTGTGTCCACAGGCTGAGTCTTCAGGAGTGAGCATCGAGAGCGTTCGTGAGTCTGATGTTGCTGTGGGGTTTTTCTTGCTAGTTTACAATCTAAAAGTTGAGACGTGTTGCTCAGAATGTTTACTTGAGTTCTTGCTCACGACTCAACTTTTGGAAGGAAATCAAGCCGGATGAGCCCAGGAAGCTAAAGAGCCCACTAATGACTCTAGTTGCTGAGACTGGCCTGCGGGAAGTAGCCGGCGCGTTGCGCATCCGTCTGCCCGCTCCTCGAATTCAAGGTTTGAGAGTTTGTGGCTTGAGCTTGATAATTACAAGCACTAGAAGCCTCGGCAAAGCTGGACCACAGTGAAAGCCTAAACCATCAGATGCTTGACGCTCAGCAGGAAGCTAAACTAGCCTAAGAACCCGGGCAAATCCCCACCCCGAAGAAATTCCAAAGTGTTCCCCTTGAGCTTCTTAACGTCCTTGAGCAAGGAAAGGGAAGTTCTTACTTCCGCTTCGTCTCTTTCAGTCTACGAGCTCGGTGCTCTGACATGCTTTCCCATGTTGCCGCATTCCATGTGTAAACAGACATCTGAACGCATCATACGCATCCTAGAGAGGTCCGTCCGTCGGATCTCAATCCCAAGCCGTATAACCAACCTACAGCTTCAGCGCCCAGGTGCAGATGGAGAATGAAGAGGCCCGGTTCCCAAGGTGCGGGCGCCTCGCAACGGTTGTGAAGCCCTTGCTGTGTTTTGTTGATGAGCATGGGCTCTTAAAGTTCAGAGGTCTGAGGGGCTTGCAATGGGGCTTAGGATAGGAAGAGCAAGTAAGCCCCACATCTATGGAGGGCTATGCCATCGAATCCCGCACCCTTGGCACGGGCAGTGCGCAGTGAGGGGGCGAGGACTTGTGCAAACATGCGCCCTCCAGAACGGTCAAAGATATTGGGTGCTGGATATATGCGGCTTGGGTTGTACAGCGCACTACACGGTGCTTTACAGCGTGGCCTGATGGTTGTTGATCTCCTTGGAAGGCAGAACCATGGTCTTGGCTTGCAGGTCCATGAAGTTTGCCTCGAAGGACTCTGGTAGAGGTGATTGAGCTTTTAGGGTGAACCTCATAGCACACCTTGAACCGGAGTGGAGCCTTGTATGCCTCACAGAAGCAGTACTGCTCCGTGTAGTTAAGGATCTGTGGATCTTGACAAGGAGGGTAGAAGTACCATTCCAGCAGAAATTGACGAGTCCACGCTGAGTTCCGAAAGAGAACGGTTCCCGTGTCGAATAACTCCTTTCGGAAAATGGACGGGTAATCTTGCGAATGCTGCTGCAGCCAAATGTGCTTGTCATCATGACCTGCGACAGGCACCACATCTTCTATCCGCAGGTGACGGTCATAGAATGCAGCATCGGCGTCAATCCAGAAAACGAAATCATACTGGCAAAGATGAAGCAGCACTGCATGTATCTTCGACCAGTGTGGGAGCCGTGACTTGTCAATCAAGCGTGTGACGATGTGGAAGCCATAACCATGCCGTTCCGCATATTGCCTGTTGGCTTCCCCGGTGGTGTTTGCATATCGTTGAATGTTCTCAGTGTGTATGGTGACGATACCAATCCTCGGCCCAGGGCAAAAACAGAAAACCAAACCTGTCATGTCAGCTGTGAGCACTCTTTCATCTTCTTGTGACCAGAAGAAATTGAATGCGGGAGTGATCTGGAAATTGTCGAAGCTATCAGCTATCCATTGGTTTTCGCACACGGGCTTCTGAAGTTGGCATTACAGAAATAAACCAGACAGTACCAGAATCACCTACCATGGTGTTGTCGGAAAAGAAGTGGTGGCGAGCTCAGTACCACATGAAGGCTCAGGGTGTTCAGGGTTCGTGAATTCATGCGCAACCCCGGAGTCATCGGGCCGAACGACAGAAATACAGACCGCTTCTCAACTTTCTCAACCACTAAAACCCACCTCGATAGCCCTCAAACCTTGAACCCCCAAAATCTGCAGCCAACAACAAACCAAGACAAGACCTTGAACTCTGGATTGCCACGAAGCTGTGGTGGGGCAGCGCTGCCCTGCTTCAGGGTTTGCACGAAGCCCTCGTTTGGTGTCTTCGGCCCTGTTTTGAGGGGTCACATTCGCTGGTGCTGGGTCGGCATCATAACATACGGCCGAGTTCTGGAATCTCAGGGGGACACGCACTCGCGACAAAAGCAACAGCTGAAGGGCCAACAATGCGAAAAGCAAGCTCAACTGAGTGGTGTCGGAGAGGTGCATCGCCCCCCACCATCCCCCCCACCCGCCCGCCAAACCCAAAAACCCAACTTGACGCTGCAAGCCCAACTGCCGAAATGAATGCAAGCCTCGGGTCGGGCCGAAGACGGGTCAGGGGAAAACTGTGCAACATGTGGGCTTCCAAAACTAGGGGTACCCTTTCTGGGGGTTCCAGAAGTATGCATGTGGGGGAGTATAGAAGGAGAAATACCCACATTGAAAAGACTCGAAACTGAAATCTAGCCAACTCGAAGGCAGGCTGTTAATAGACGTAGGCTGTTCCAGGGGTTGGGACCGAATGACAACCAAAGACATGGCCAAGCTGGAAATTCCTCTAGCCGATTCAAAGCCAACTTGCGCGACCTTCAAGTCATGCGAGACCTCAGCAAATCCTGTAGGACCACATGCCACCAACCCGAATCCGAAATTCAGTCCGTGCTGTGGCCTCAGGCTGCAGCAAAGCCCAGGAAAGCAATGCCGCAGTTGCTGGTGGTGCCATGGCGGAAGGCTCATTGGACTTTTGGTAAAGTTGTTCTAGTTTTAGTATTTTGAGCCAGTGTAAAGCCTCAAGTTGAGGGCTGTAAGGTGCTTTCGTCAATCTATTAGGGGACTTAGAGCATGGAAAGCAGCTCAGGCTGCAGCTCGGGGCTACGCAAGTGCGGTTCTGGCGCTCACTAGCGACGCCCGCCCTCGAAGCCCACAAGCAGGAACATTTAAAGCAGGGTTGCAAACACAATAAACTATTCAGATCATTGAGCATTAACCACTTGTGAAACCATACGAATTCATGCCATGCCCTTCCAATGCCCCAAAACCCATCCCCAAAGCTTCGGGTTCAAGCTGTTGGGGTTCAAACTTGGCTGAGGGTGCAGCCCTAGAAACCAGTTGCCGTCCTTTCAACTGAAGACCTTTGTCCAAGGCCGCAGCCACAGGGAGCTCCAGTAGGATAAGACCCACCTGAGTTCAATTCACCTTCCTTGCGCATGGCAGGTATGGCAGGTTGGACTAGCCATTCTTCAGCTTCCGACTTCACACCCGGCAAGCAGAAGCGTCAAAACACAGCACTCTTGGCTACCGACTGGCCCAGGCTGCTTGCGAAGCCTCTGCTGCAGTGGCTCGCCACGCGTATTGTGCAAAGCCATGTTCAGGCTGCGTGTGCACAGTGCAGGAATGAACATTGATACCGACACCGCGTGTCTGCTCTGTGTTCGCGAGTATCTCTCTGAGAGCGCTCAGAAATTTGCTGGTACGAGAACAGAATTGGAGGCACGGCTCGCATGGAGAAGCGCATGCTAGAGGCTCACGGCCGCTGCTGTTCACCGAACGTCTCTCTTGATCGCGACTTTCGGGTTGGCGCTGGATTGCTTCCAACTTCGTAGCTCAGCAACCCAAGTCGGACTCAGGCACGGGCTGCGAACTCTCCACCTGAGTTTTGCATGGTGGGGGAGGGGTGGAGCGGGGCATTCTGAGTTCTTGGTTCCTCGGTGACTTTCAACATAGCATCCCTCAACCCCTGCACTGTTTTTGGTCGACATATTCGCCTACTGCACAGCCTGAGATCATCTGAGTGGCCGCCAGGGGGGACGGCTGCCCCGAAGGTAGCGGGCATAGAGGTAGGAGTCGTAGTGACCTCCAAGTATCAGCAAATCACCGCCAGTCATAGCAAATCTCTCCAACTCTCAGCAAATCCGCAGACAAAAAACAAACAAGTGCACCGCTCCGAGCTGGGGCCCCTGCGCCCATGCAGGAAATAGAAGGCAGGGAAGTACTCGATGCGCAAGAAACTGGCGGTGAGTGGCGAAACTGATTGAGTAAGGAGCTGTGGTGGATCATGGCATAATCAGAGGCAAGCAAGCAGTTGCGAGCTTGTGTGCCTGCCAAGATCATGGAAGCCCTAAGAGGCTCAAGATGGGCCCAACGGCGCATGCTGCACAGAAAGACCGCAATGCAACTGACAGAAACCTTCGACAGCAAAAAGATGATCAAAAATCAAAAAGGCCCGTTTGCTTCAAAACAGCCACCACGTTCGTTGGCGTTGATGGTGAGTGCCTGTTGGAGGCTTCGAGTTGGGATCTCAGAGCCGAGACCTTGTGAATCCACCCCGAGCCTGAGCTATGAAGACCGGGTTATGGCTTCCGAGCCAAATAACTCATAAACAACCCATACGCTAAGCCAACAAATCCGTCGCATCCAGGCAGTAAATGTGTACACCGCTTGTTGATGGCTCGTTTGATGGGAGGTGGGGAGGACCTGCTCGACTCGTAGAGCAGGATGGCGGCCTCGTTGTAGGTCACCACGTGCCTGGTTCTCGGCTTTGTGGCTTCATCATATGGCTTGGGGCTTTTGTGGGGCCTGAGAACCTCAAACGCCGCCCATCGGAAACTCCGACCCGCAGAGTCAAATCCTTCGCTTTAGCCCTGAATCTACATTCCACATGGAGTCGGGCGAAGTACGTTCAAAAACCAAAAGGGCATTGGTTTTTGAATGTGCCAATAGGGCTGAATTCGAGGGCCTGTGGTTCAGGTTTGGGTTGGAAGCCGGCCCGCACCTCACCCCTCGAAAAAAGAGACAGAAACGAAACTAAAACACGCTCTTTAAGGCCTGCCCGGATAAGGGTGGGTCCTCAGAAGGTGCAGTAGCCGAGACGAGAGCTTGCTGAAGATATTATGGCGTCGTAGACAACACAGCCTGCCTTCTGACCTAAGTCACTTAGGGCTGCGGCAGCGCTCCGCCATATGAATCATAAAGCTCACTGACCGAGGGCGTGGCAAGTACATTGCTTGCACCTGGCACTGCCAAGGAAGCTGATCCCATCACAATACCCACCTTAAGGCTGCCGTAGCTGCAGCTCTTACATCTTCTGAACTACAAATCATTGTTCTGAATAAGCTTCAGATCAAGGGCCTGGTGTCACCAACAGTTTGTGACCGCCAGGCACAGCACGGAACGGCTCTAAGGGTGGGCACCACGCCAGCTCCAGACTTGTAAGGTTCAGGTTCGGGACACAGGACTCAAACTCCAACTTGCAAGTAAGCTTGCAGGCGAACCGACGACATCCTAGGGCTCAAGGTGTCCCCAATCATCTCAGGATACATTTCCCGGCCTCGGGCAAGTCTCTTTCCACGTACTCTAAGGAGCGCCTGGACAGACGTTCGAGAGTCAGGATGTAGTAGCAATGTACTAGGCCAACGATTCGCGCTTCAGGTCCTTTTGTGCGCACAAGGAAGGCCAACTCGCACCGGTGTGTCGATCCCATACAGAAAGGTATGCCCCAAACACACAGCTCGTGCGCATGCGTACAATTCTATACGGATTCTGCGTGCAGGCGAGTGCGATTAGAGCCGAGAGCGCGCCCATTCTCCCCGTTGGCAAAGAAGACTAGAAGAGAACCAACTTGAAGCCCAGTGGCCTCAGCAGCTCTTTGGCCAAACCCCGCCTGCAACACAAGGGCAGTCAGAAGGGGTTCGGAAGAGGTCTTCGGGGCTTAGGAGCGTAGGAAGTTTAGGAATCTGGGACTCTGATGAGCCGTGCTTAAATCGGATGTTAAGGCTTTCCAACTTGACACTCTCTACAACCTTGGGGAGACGAGAACTCTGCTCATGCTTGCTCAATCGACTTGCAAGTTGAGAGATCGGGGATAAGGCTGCAGCCTGCGAAACGCCTCCGCCACGCCCAAGGTCAGGATGTAAGCCAGGGCCCCTGTGCCTTTGCTTCGGAGGGTTGAGGGCAGAGATTCTAGCGATTCTAGCTGATGCTTCGCGACTGGAAAGTAACATGGAGTTATCTGAACATTATTTTTTTTTTTGTTGGGGGGGGAGGGGTAGGGTTTAGGGTTTAGGGTTTAGGGTTTAGGGTCTAGGGTCTAGGGTCTAGGGTCTAGGGTCTAGGGTCTAGGGTAGGGTCTAGGGTCTAGGGTTAGGGTTAGGGTTTAGGGTTTAGGGTTTAGGGTTTAGGGTTTAGGGTTTAGGGTTTAGGGTTTAGGGTTTAGGGTTTAGGGTTTAGGGTTTAGGGTTTCAGGGTTCAGGGTCAGGGTTCAGGGTTCAGGGTTCAGGGTTCAGGGTTCAGGGTTCAGGGTTAGGGTTTAGGGTTTAGGGTTTAGGGTTTAGGGTTTAGGGTTTAGGGTTTAGGGTTTGGCTTCTCCGCAGCGGAAACGCAAGATGCCAGGCTGTCAGGCCTGAAGTGCTGTTTTCGGTTGTTTAAGCAACACTCCTGTGCAGTGAGTCGATATCCTGCTGGAGGTGACGCCTCTTTCTGAGATGGCGTGGTCCAAACCTGCGTTCCTTGAACCTCACACTTGCGATCAGCTTCCAAGGCTGCTCGAACCGGGTCATACCGGGTCCAAACTACCAAGCTCCACATCTGCTCTGCGCCGAACCTCAACCCTCCGACCCCAATGTTCAAGATTGAAGTCGTCCCTCCCCAAGATTGAAGACATGCCAGCATCTAGGGTCACGAGATTTTAGGGCTTAGCGGCTTAGAACAACTTTCTTCCTGCTCCAGAGCGCTTGGCCCTGCCACTGGTTCCTCACCAGGTCCGCGCCGGTGGCGTTTCCGCCGGCAGATGGCCTAAGATGGTGTAAGGTTATTCTAGCTTTGAAAGCAACCGGTGTGTGAGGTCTTGTAGGGCTTGTATGTAAATTGCAAAGTCTTGTATTTGGCGGATTCCTTAAGCCGGAGAAATGTTGCTACAAGCCGCTACAATCGCCTAGGAATAACCCTGAGCCCTAACATGCCTCGCAATCGCCACCCAGCACATGGCCGATGGCCTGCCGCAGGATTTGGAGTTCAAGGCTTCGAGGCTTCAAGGCTTCCAGGGGAAAGACTTTAGAGGTTTAGGCGTTTTGCTCGAAACACCGCGGGGCGTGGGCGGCGGGAGCTTTGGGCCGCCCAGGGCCCAGCCAGGCCATGGACTTATGATGGGTGGGGAAGCCCGCATCACGTTTCGGGCGGGAGGCCCTCAGGGTGTTGACCTACCACGACGTCTGTACCTTTCGTCACAGAAAGGCTGCTTCAATGCCTTCACGAAAAATTGCGACCACTAATTTGTACTGCCGAGCATATTCTATATATATATATATACATACATAGCCAGTGCAGCGCAGTGAACCTCGCAAAAAAAGCTTGGGCACAACAATCTTCACTCTGTGCTCCAGCTGGGATGCTCCATTGACACCATCTTGTGGGGCCACTTCTCCACTTCTCGGCTTCGACTACGTGACCATGCCAAACAAACTTGGGGTGCTCTCGGAAATCAGGAAATTGGGAAAAACACATTTTCAAAAAGGGCAGGGCTCGAAAGCCTTCTTTTCGGTGGATGAGAACTGAATCCTTTCCTGTCCCTTGCTGCGCTGAGTCTACTCAAAATAGATGTACATAAAGATGTGTCTGGGCCACCGAAGGACTTGCCTATACTCTAGTTCAAAACCAGTCAACACGGCTCGCACACCTTCACCGCAAATTGGCTGGACCTTGAAACTCAAACCGCACCCCAGGCACTAA